AGGATATGGCCCTTCAAAACTCAGCTATCCAGGGATTCATAGCATCTTTCAGGGGTGTGAGGGGACAAGGAGCTTGCTTAGATGGCAATAATGAACAGGATCAAGTTCAGTCACCATATCAAAACTCAGTTTTGGCGATATACAGGCCTTCTGCAGATGAATGAATGTCATCTCTGTTGACATCAGATGCTGGAGTCAACCTAGAAGTCAAGTAGGAGCTTGACCATGTGAGGAGAGTCAGCCCTCACTTGGTCACCAAAAGCAGCAGGCAGATTATCAGCAGGTATCAGTACATTAAATTTTGAACATTTGGTTATCTCGTTTCCTGTAATTGCAGGATGACAGAGTATCAAAACACCAGTTTCCAAAAAGCTGACCTGGTTTTCATTCTTGTCTTGCTGGTTACAGCCAAGACACCTGAGCCTGTTGGTTCCTGAATGTCTGAAGATGGGACTCAGGACACAATTGGCAAGTCAGGAAGCTCTGCAGGAGATTTATTGCTGCATTATCAGAGGATCAGGGCTCTGCCAAATGCAGCTTGGAATAAAAGAGCCATGCCCTGCCCTGGAAACATCTAGGCTAAGTAAACAGATTGAGGCAGGACAAGAGGAGCCCAGGAAGGTGAAGGTTAGAGGAGGAGTGACACCATTTTCATTTTCTGAGCTAGGTGTCCCAATTCATTGCATCCAGTAGTTTCCTCAGAAGCTGCTTTGCCAACAGCATCTGCAGCAAAGAAAAGGACAGAATTCTGCACCACACAGACTACATGATGAATGCATGAGAGGCTGGCACCCTGAGCATTAAAACCAAAATAAAAATGCAGTGTTGTTTGCTACTAGCTACAAGAGAAATCAGCAGAGCTTGGGGGTCTCTGTACCTGCACAGGCAGTCAGAAGGAACAAGAGGCAAGCAAAGCACCTGATTTCCAAACAGGAGCAGTCTGGAAGCAAGTAAAGCACCTGATTCCCAAACAGGAGCAGTTCTAACAGGCCAGGAAAGTACTGCAAGCTTTGAGTCTGGAGTCTCAAACAAAACCATCCAGATAAAATAAGTTTCTAGCAGGGGTCAGTGCCATGGGGAAGGCACAGCTCTGCACACCCCAGGTGTGAGGCAGCCCATGGAGCTCCATCAGGAGCTGCCCACACTCTGCTCTCTGCACGACCAGGACAAGAGGATTTCTGACTGCCTGCAATAACAAGCATCCTCCAGCCACCAAGGCTAATGCAATAAAGTGAATTTCATTTTGGCATAAGAAAAACCAAGGGAACAACATGATGTATTGGCAAAATTTTAATCATAGAAGGCCAAAGAGGCAGCTTAAAAGAGTTAGGCTGTTATTGATTGGGTCATAGTGATGCAGCATTTCAAAACAGGCTTAACACCTGCTAATTTCATTTCAGTGCTGCTGAAGCTGAGTCAGCTAACAAAGCCTCTCCTGGATCAAGCACGTTCAGAGCAGTCCAGCAGTTCCTTCCCTTCATGAAAGTGCTTCCTCTCTTTGGTAAGGGCACTAAGAGGGGAGAAAGGATGATCCCCTCCCTCCTTTAAGCCTGCCTGTGCAGCCTTCCTCTCCCAGAGCTGAGAGGAAAGAGGATAAGAAGCATCATGGTATTGAAGAAAATCCCTTAGATAAGGGCTATTATATTTGCTACACTGGTGAAGCTGAGGGAGTGTTTCCCTTTCCCTTAACATGGGGACTCAGGCAGTCAGTTTGAGTTTCCCAGAGTCAGAGCACGTCAGTGAGAACAGGAACAGACCCAGGCCCTGATCCCTGCTATTGCAGCACACCACACTCTCATCCTCTCATTGCCCTCAAACCCCTGCTTAAGAATTATCTCCCTGTTGCTCCAGTTACCTTTGCCCTGCCCCTGACTTTGGGAAGACAACAATTGATCTCTGGATTGCTACAGTGAAAGCAAGATCCTGATGTGGAGGAAGCTGCCCTAGAAATAGAATGAAAACTGGCACATCAGCCAAGCAGAGTGGAAGCATCCAACCACTTCTTCTACCACCCACAAGCAGCTCAGCAGGGCAACCAGACCAGTGGGACTGAGCAGCCCTGGGCAACAAAATTGGTTCCTTTCTTCTTTATCAAGGAAACAGTGAATGGGAATGTTCCATTCCTAGTAAACCCTGATCTTATCAAGAAGCCTGTCATGGTGATATTGTCTGAAAAATCCCCTTGCCCAGGATTCTTCTTCTGGGAACCTGAGAAGCCTCAGAGAAAGAGGAAAACAGTATTATCTCATTTGCTTCTCCTGTGTTTTGCTGCTTTGGAATGTGGCTGGAGATTGTTTATCCAACAGGTGAATTGTTTTTACTTAATGACCAATCACAGTCCAGCTGTGTCAGACTCTGGAGAGAGTCAGGGGTTTTTCGTTAGTATCTTGTTAAGCCTTCTGTCTCTATTCTTTCTTTATTCTTTAGTATAGTATTCTTTAATATAATATAATACCATAAAATAATAAATTAGCCTTCTAAGAACACGGAGTCAAATTCATCATTTCCTTCCTGCCATGGGGGACCCTGAAAATACCACAGAAGCCCAGGACTGAAAGAAGGTCACCTGTGCCAGAGATCTGTTTTTCATGTACACCCTTCTCAGTACCATCTCTTGCATGTCCCTAACCCTGTGTGTTCTGCTGTGGCTGCTCCAACACTGTGTCCTGGCTGCCTTAGGGACCCCAGCACAACCATAGCCCAGATGTGGAGCCACCCCAGATGTGGAGCCAGCCTGAACCCGCTGGGGCTCATTAGCAGAGGTACAACACGGTTGGAATATGACAGTACTGGTGCCATCACAGGACCATCCTGGCTCAGAGCAGCTCAGTGACTCCTGCCCTCTGCTGAGCTGTTCTGGATCAGTCCTACTGTTTGCAGAATACCTTATTGTAGTTCCCCGTGTTTATAAAAAATTAACTTAAATAACTGGGCAGAGGAAGCAAATTTCAGAACAGAAGGACTGTGGGGGGGAAAATAATTAATTTTCCTATTGCTTTCATTCTGTTTGGAAACAACTTTCATCCCAAGGCTAAAGATGAGAACACTGAGTCAGAATTTTATGTTGGAGGCCATTTTGCATCCCTAACTACAACACTTGCTATCAGTGGAAACTACAATGCTAAACCTGTGAATTAGCTCAGCAGTTGGCAATACAGCATCCACCTCCCCTTCCTTGACAGAAATGTAGAGTAACAGCAAGAAACACTGCAAATCAACAATAATATACTGAAACAGGACTCACTTTACCAGGATTGGCACTTGCTACAGGCTTTCTGCTCCATTTACATGGCACAAAAGACAACTGTGAAATGACTGGAAATGTAATATGGAAGAATATAATTAGTTTTGCTGGAGATAGATGATAGATGATCTTTTATGAAAAGTAACCATCAGAAACAAAGGTTGGATTGTCTTCTCAGTTTCACCAAGGTAAAGCAACCTGATTATGAGAGCAGATAATATAGCAGATATTTACTGTCCAGAGAGATTAGGCTGATATAAAGCAAGTGTTTCAAGAAATAAACTTTTTGGATGCTCCCACAGTCCTTGCCAGCCAGCTGGAATTTTGATATGCAAGTCTGAGATCCAGAATTCTCACAAAGTGCCTGATTCTGATGGATTACTTGTGTTTTCCCAGCCAATAATTTCAGTGCTTATCACATATTGCTTTGTTGTTCAAATACAGATTTCTGCTGTCCTAAGCAGGGGAATTTCCTGAACATCTCATGTGAGGTTCATTCCTAGCATCAAAACAAGGAACTTTGAGGCTCTAAGCAAAGACCTCAATTTTTAATTTCTGATGTAATTGCATTTAATTTGGTCAAGTGACAGCCACAGTTAAGTGGGGTTTGTAAGAACCCCAGGGTTACAGGGCACAGGCAGCCCCTGTCTGGCTGCCACACACCTGAAATATGCAGGTGAGACTGGGAAGAAAGTAATTTCTGTGCAGTGAGACACTGAACCCTTTGCTCTGGGGCTTGGAGGAGCTCTGCTGTGAGCCACAGGTCCTCAACAAGGCAAGGAGAGTCACAGCAAACATTCAGGTCACCCCTTAGGCATTAGTTATGGACCAAGAAACACTTCACTGCCAATTCCACACATCCCACCCTGACTCTCCCCAAGAAACTCAGAGTCACAACAAACTAGGCGAAGATTTGCTTCCTCTCCAAATATTTTTTTCCTTAAACTCCTGGTCCTATATAAGTTGTCTGTTCCTATACCAGGAAAACTGTTATAAATAAAAGGAAGACCTGACTAGCTTAAAAGTTCAGAATATTAGGAAGAAGACACAAAAACCCCTTTCTTATTTTGGCATAGAACGGGTCCTTCATAAATGTGCCATGTGTCCTACAGCAGCAAGAGTGACAGGAGGGTGCAGCAGACACAAAAGGTCAAGCACTTCCCTACCTCAGGATCAAACACCTTTCTTCATCTGCTCAACTTTTTGTATTTTCAGAGCTGTCAGTACAGTAGATGCTGAGCACTTCTGAAAAATCACTCAGTACCTGCCCCCCAAGAGCTGCTAAGGACTTTCACAGTTTCACCCACTTCCCAAGTGATCGTTATTTTATAGGCTCTGTATCAAAGTTCAAATCTAATGATTGTGGGCAAGAAGCCAGCAGAAGCCTGACAAAGAAAATTCCAGTAATACATGAATTAATTTGACCATATGTCACTAAGCTTTATTGTATGCCCAAGTAACCCACAAACAGTAACTGCTTGTAGCTTTACAGAAGATGATATGGAACCATAAAAAAAGTGAACACAAGTCTCATGGTTTTTAGCTGTCCACAAAGAATGGGAGAACTTCATCCCACGTTTACCTTTCCTGGGACACAGACATGCTTCCCTGGCAGATGGTCACAGAAAACTCTCATGAGCCTAGGAGCAAACTGTGGGAAACCAACCCACTTGATCTCACCCACTTCAAAACTCACAGAAGTGAAACACTCAGTGAAAGCTCTCAGCACCAAATGAACCCAAGAACTGCTGCTTACCTGTGACTGAAGAGCCACACGCGCTGTAAGAGAGCTTCAGAAAGCGCAGAGTGCAGCAACAAGGGGAGAAATCCCCTTCAGACACACACTGGAGCAGCTCCAGCCCCTTAACTGTGAGGCCACTAAAGCTGTACAGCATCTGGGACAGGTGTGTGGCAGGGTGGGGACAGAGCACAGCTGGTAGGGGTTCTGGGCTCCTCCTCAGCTAAAACATGGTCCCCCTCCATCTCCAGCTGCTGGGAGGGAGAGAGATCATTCATATCTGGAATAATTTACCCAATGAATGGCAAAATGTAACCCCTCTTTATATCCAGCAGCCTGGAGAGGGGGGCTCACTGCCAAGGTGAACCTTCTGGGGTCTCTGTGCCTGCCTGTCCCATGCAGCAATTAGAGCAGCTGGAACTGAGCCACGCTGGCTGACCTGATTTCCAGCTTGATCTTTGGTATTTTATTGCCAGCAGTGCACCAGCCTGGGCTGCAGGACAGCACAGAGGAGGTGCAGGGATGGAACACAAGAACCAGAGCAGCCACACACATTCCCTTGGGAGATTTTCCCTCAGCTTTTATCAGAACAGACGAGATGTGAACATGAATGAGTGTCCCATCCATAGCACAGATCTGCCTGGGAGCAGAGAACTCCTGGGAGAAACAAGCTGATCTCTTTCAAATTACTTTTAAAGACCACATGACCCCCTTGTACTTCAGGTACAATAGCTAAGCAATAATATTAATGCTTTAAATTTGAACTTCCCACCAGCAGTCCTAGCAAGTGCCCTTTTCCAGAGTATTTATCCAGTAGGAATTAGTAGTGTAAATTACAGAATCTGTAATGCTCTAAAAGGAATTACACTCCTAATGTTAACTTCCTTCTTGTGGTGCTTGTGTGACTTTGATGTAATCAGAGCCAGGGTTCTCAGTGCTAAAGTTGGGCCTAAAATCAGAAACACTGAATGGCTCCTCGAGAGGGAAGTGCTGGTGATTTGATGTGTGATGCTTCTCCTCAGCATGTGCTGTCCTTCCCTGCTCCTCTCTGAGGGGTGACTCTGCTCCCTCCCTTCCCACTGGTGGAACAGCCAAGGCCACTAGGGGGGGGGTTTCTCAGCCACCCCTGTAGCAGCCAGGCACAGAGAAATCCAAATTTATCACTGAATTTTGGGGCAGTGAGCTGCTGCCTTCCCTGTGGTCCTTATTGTGACAGGCACAGGTACAATCTTTGCTAGAAAAATGATTTTTCACTACATTCCAGTGGCTTTGGCTGCTCTGCTGGATCAGGGCTCTGCTGGGAGCTCTGGTGGGAGCCAGACCTTTGCCAGGCTAATTTACTTATTTTGGCAGCATGCTGGAAAGGAACCTTTGGATATATTTTCAGCTCATGTCAAAACACCACACATGTTTTTCTGATCCCAGCGCTTACGTTCTGAAATGCTTTGAATCTGCTTTCATACTTGATATTTTTAAAGAAGGATTGTTTACATGTACAGCACCATGGTGACAGGAAAATAAACTCAAGGAAAAAGTGCACTAGTGCATCAAACCCTGTTTAGAGCACACACTCAATTAACATATCTAAATTAATCAGCAGGATTCAGATGTCTTGTCACTACCATTTCAATCAATAACAGGATAGGATAATGATAAAGTCCCATTACAAATACCTTACAGATATTAAGGTCTCTATCCAGTCCATCAGCATCCAGCATGTAATTAACCCAGAGAATGTGAATCAATCTTTTCCTCCAGAGCATGTTCTCCAAGATCTTCCCCCCATCCTGAGCCCCCACCTCTGACCATGGTGCTCCAACACAAACCAAAGCCCACGTGAGGTGGTGATTCTTTCTTGTCCTTGTTCTTGAGAACACTGAGGTACCTCAGTGCTCAAGGAACACAAACAACACAAGTACACTCATTTATAACATGAACATTTGCAAAACATAAATAAATGTCCTTAAAAATTTCCCAGGCATCCAAGCAAAAACTTACTTTCAAGACAGTTCTATTTTAAAACATGAGAAACACAGGGAAAAAAACCCCAAAAATAATAATAAAAAAAAACATTGCTTCACAAAGTCCATTTTCATTGAGACCTGAAAGCAAATTGACTGTACTTGCAGGCAATATTTTTTAAAGTCTGGTAACAGGATTGAAAACAATCATCTTCCTCCCACTGCCATTTGGTATGGGAGTAGTAGACTACAGTTGTACTACTACTTGGATCTTAGCTATTGAAGTCACAGCCCCTGAGGGCTGTAAAAAGTTGCTGCTGTCATGTACAAATCAGTCTTCTTCATAAAAATGACATGGTTGACATGTAGGGATAATATTATAAGGTAACTACCATGGAGGTTTCATGCTTGGATATGTTCAAAAAGATGTTTCTCTTTATCCCTGACCACAAATACTTATTGATGGTTTCTTGTCAGCTGTTTGAAAGCTTTAAAGAACTGCTGTCTCTGCTGGGGTCTGCTCCTTGGCTGAACTTTTCATTAACCTTTGATCACTCTTCAGAGCATTTTTCTAGCAAGCAACTGAAGAATTTCAAGTGCTGCAGTGAGTCCGTATGTGTGGGGGAGAAGAGGAGGAGGTGAAGGTTTTTATAGACGTACACATATATCCTGTACAAATACACACCCAGGTCTTTAACTCTGACAGGACTAGAGGAAAAACAAATGGGTACTTCTATTTTTAAGATTTTGCAAAAATGTGCAAATAAACAGGATTTCTTGTCCCTAGCTAAGTTACCTCTCTTCCAGCATCCTCACCCCAGGGAAAAGAACAGAAATGGCTTAAAGACACTTGATTTAGCAGATGCAACTGGTGATGCAAATCTAATTAACACAGCTCTCCTCTGCTGAGGGGATGAGCACTGGCAAGGCTGTTTCTCTTCCCAACCTCTCAGGTTTGCAGAAAGCTGAACTTTACCCACTCAGCACCCAGCTACACTTTGGTGTGGAATGAGGGGCGAGGTGCCTGCTCCCTGCCCAGGCACTCTCTATGCCCTGTGCTGGCAGCTGGCTGGCAGGACTGGCCCCGAGCTTGGCAGCAGCACGAATCCCTTTGGGGAGGTCAGCACGGGTGTCACAGAGCTGCAGCTTGTTGGCACTGTCCACAAAACGTGGAACACGGCTTCATTCATTAGGTGGAGCAGCTCATTAGTGCGCTCGGGATGCCAACACTCATTGTGACACATTTCAGCTTTTGTTCTGCTCCTTTCCAAGTTTAACTTAAAGCGTTTTCTCCAAAGCACTAGCATTTGCTCACAGAAGTGGGTTTTTTTGCATTTAAATACCTTCCTGGGATATCACAGCATTTACCAAGCCCTCCACCAGTCATTTTTAGCATCCCTTTTCCTCTGACAGCCAGCACATCAAACAGCTTGCAAATTTTCACTAGCTGAAGGTGCAGGGCTGCCTTGCAAGCTGGCAGCTGCACTGAATTTTCAGGAATACAGAGCAGCTGTGGCCATGATTCTTCCCACTCCCCCCTGTTTTGCCAAGGCAGGTTAATTGCTTCTTCATGCAAGCTGTCACCCTGGTTCCAGAAATGCCATTGCATTTGGAGCATGCTGAGGGCTGAAGTTTTTTGGGAGGTTTGTGTTTGCAAGGAGGATGCCAGACAGCAGTGCAGCTTTGGGGGCTCACCCTGGATTGTGGTTTAGATATAAACCTTCAGATGTATCTACCAGTGCAGGGTTGTAATGAATTTAAAATGCCTGAAAATAAATATGGCTCTTCTTTCCACTGTTTCTAAAGAGGATTAAATAAATAACAGCATGCTGCTTAATTGTAGCAAAATGTGAAAGATGAATTGATTTGAGGATTTAAGGGTGTTAATTTTGTTTGGGGAAATGCCTGAAGAGAGTGCCATTAAAGATAAATAAATACCTTACAGATAAATGGTTCTGGTCCCTAGCTGGCTGCTGGGCAATTGCATGAAGGTTTCAGGTCAGGTTTTCCACTGCTTTCAGGCTTTGCTTTGGGAAGTGCCTGTAAGCAGCAGAACAGCCTTTAGCTGTGTCTGAAGATGCGGTGCCAAGGACACAGTCCCCGTCTCCATGGCAGGGGTCAGTGCCCCCCTCTGATGTGCTGAGACGTGTGTTTTCAGAGCAGGGCTTAATCCACAGGGATCACATTCATGGGGACCCCCCTTCACTCCCCCCCAGGCACACGTGAGGGGTGGGAGCTGTACATGTGGGCAGAAAGAGGTCAGGAAGGTGGGAATGCCTTAGATTGGCTCGGCTGCAAGAGAAAATGCTTGAATAGCTGTACCAGAGCTTCCTTGTGATGGGAAAAGGCTCCATTTTAATGATGTATTTGATATGAAAGGGCACGGTGCTTCAGTGCATAGCTTGCAATAAGAGGAAAGCAGATATGACAGCTGAGGCTTCACAATGTTAGAAATAGGCCTTTCAGACTTTGAGACAAGAAAAACAAACACCGAAGGACAAATTTATGGTTGGAATAATAGACTGGTGGGTTTGGGGGGACAGGCTTGAAATAAGCTTCCCTTGACAGCTTCTATATTTGTCTCATGCTGCCTACTTTTCATGCAGCATCCCCACCCCCACAAACTCCTCAGCTCTAGGTAGAGCTGGAGGTTTAATTAATTCCTCAAAGCACAGCTAAATTGTCTTGGGAATTATCACTGCAAGGGCTGCAGAGCAGGAGACACACCTCAGTTACAGCCTGGGGTGGCAAGCAGGGCTTGTGGGCTGCTCAGGGTGTTAAGGGCCACAACTAAAATACACAGAAAGTTGCTCACAAAAGGTAGTAAAATATTTTTTGGTCACTGACCAAAAAAAAATAATTCCAGCTTGTATTCAGGGAGGGAATCGTAGAAATGGGAAACCAGTTTAAGAATCTGAGCCAGGGTACTGTTACCTATATTTATATATTGGAGGGAAATGAAGACATTTAATATATAAGTATGTACATAAATACATATATGTGTATGTATATATATATATGTATATGTGTATATGGAGTTGCTTGGTTACTCAGGCAGTTTGACAGTCAGGCACAGCTTGGCATTTGTGCCTTTGGGAGCTAGCAAGGATGTGGGGAGATGGACAAGCATTTGATGGCAACA